ACAGTGAGCTGCTTCACCAGGTGAGTGGTGCCAGGTGGCTCCTGTACAGAGGCCCAGGCTTTATTTGGCCCCCTTTCTAAGGCTGCTCTTCAGCTTTTCTGTGGTTTTTGTCAACCACATGTATATTTTCAGTAATTTTCTCTTGATTTTTTGAAAAAATTTTTTTATAAAAGATGACCAATAAGGGGATCTTAACCCTTGACTTGGGGGTGTCAGCACCACGCTCTCCCAAGTGAGCCACGGGCCAGCCCTTCTCTTGATTTTCAAGTTACTGGAGATCAGTCTTTCTTACTAGATTCACCTACTAATATATGAGGGCACTTCAAAAAGTCTGCGGGAAAATAAAATCAAAAGATAATACAAATCTTCCATGAACTTTTTGAAGACCCTTGTAGTTCCAAAGATCCAGTATGCCTTTGGCCAAGTCAGTCTGAGTTAAGTGCCCAGCAAGGCCAGAGTACGCAGGGGCATGGAGAAGAGGTAGGAAGGTCTGTATAAAAAGGCAAAAGCCAGCCCAGGTTTCCACCAGTCCCCCACTGTTCATGAACCCAGAATATCAGAACAGGAAAGGTCCTCCATGGCCATCCAGCCAGTAGAGCAGTGTGCTGAAAGGCCCAGGCTCTAGAATCAGACAGCTTGGTCCAAAGCCTGGCTCTCCTGCTTATTAGCTGTGCAGTCTCAGGCAAGTCACCTAACCTCTCTGGGCTTCAGCTCACATCTTGAATGGGGATCCCAACAGTTCTCATAGGTTGCCCTATTTGACCCTTGCAGCCATGTGGTCTGGCCTAAGTGAGAGAACCCAATGCAGAGTCTGTCACTTAGGAAGCATCTGATATGCTTACCAAAAACCACCACCACCAAAACTATCACTCGCCCTGTACACAGCAGGTAAGGAAACTGCCCATGATTAGACACGTTGATCTTTGCCATGAGGTACTGCAGAGTCCTCAAGAATGAAGAGGACTGATGATAGCAGGCCATTGGGTCTGCAGTGAGTGAAGGTAGTTTTGCTGGAGATGGTGTTTGTTCTCAAGAAGGGAGGTGATGTGAGAAGCAGGAGGACGAGGGGACCCTGCCCCTCCCCACCCAAGCCTCTGCAACAGTTCAGGAGGAGAGGCTGGCCAGCTGTCTCCTCCACCCAGGTCTCGCCAGGCCAGGCATCCAGCAGACTGCCTCCCAGGATGGCAGGGATGTCTCCTTGTCATGAGCCCCATGGCCCACCACAGCAGGCCCCTGGCTGGACAAGCGCTGGTAGACTCCCATGTGAGTGGGGGTGCCGGGCTAGTGGCTCCTGCCTCAGCATGCTGTCCCCTTCCACCAGATTCCACATGGTGTTTCTCCCACTGTCCTCTGAGAAAACTCCCACTTCACCTTCACTCCCCAAGCCCTGTCCTGTCACCCTCCTGTCACAGCCCCCACACCCTCTGAGCTCCTCCTGCCCCTGGACATTACATATACTGCATAGCTGGTGAAGTAGCCTCTGCTCTGTCCTGCCCATGGAACTGTGTCTCAGGAAGTCCTGGGACGAGGAGACCCCCAGAGCATGGGTCTGCCTTTTGCTCCTTTGACCCTCGCTGTGTGGGCAGCCTCCTGTCCTTGGGCCTGGCCATGCTGTCCCCAAGGCTTTGAGGAATGGGGATGGGAGGGAGCACAGCACAGCTAACTGTCCAAGTCCTTGCTCTCTTACCTCCTCCAGACTCCTGCGGATGTCGCCCAGCATGGAAAGGACATCTTGGGTGGGTACCACCCCTAGGGGAAGAAACACCATCATCAGCACAGCCGTGGGCTCAGAGGTTCCCCTCCACAGGCTCCCAGCCCCCTCTTGGACAGGTGGCCGGCACTCCCCTCTCCTAGACCATCAGACTGGCTTATTAGAACACCACATGACGGGTGTGGCACTGGACAGCCACTTCAGCAGCCCACACGCAGTGTTCTGAACATGTATCCTCGCTGCCAGTGTGCGGCGCCCGTCCATCTCACTGTGCTGGGACCACAGCGGTTCTACCTGTCTCCCCTTCCCGGGCCTCACACCCTCCTCCTCTTCCCCAGGACCCAAGCTTGTGGGTACGCCTTGAACCCTGAACTAGGGGCTCCTGCCATGCTGGAGTTCTGGGTCGCAGAGCCCTCGCCTGTGTGCCTCCTGGCGCGGGCCCTGGGAGACGCCTGTTGGTTTAGTGCCACCTCCGCTGCCCTCCTGGTCTCCCACGCGTCCTGCCTCGCTCACCCTGCTCGCCCACCAACGTCATTAGAAGGTGCTGCTCCTTCTCGCTGGGCTTGCTCAAGGAAATATGCCAGTCCCCGTGGTGGCCGCTGCCGTGACGGGGCAGCACCTCTTCCACCAGGGCCAGGAGCTGCAGCCCCCGGTGCTGCCGGAACACTTCCTGCAAGGTCAGAAGGAGCCCCCTGCTCAGTGAGGGAAAGCGGCTCTGCTAGCCCCTCTGCATCTAGGCCCAGCCCCCACTCCACCTTCAGCCCAGTGGCTGAAGGCTGGGGAAGGCCCTCTGGCTACTCCCAGAGAGGCTGCTCTGGTCAGCTCTGCCGCCACCTGAGAACTGTGAATATGGCCTCTGGGTGGGAATGTGCAAAGGCCAGGCCGCACACTGATCGTTCCTTCCTGCCCCAGAGACTCCTGCGGTTGAGCTGGGGGACAGATATGCCCATGTACGACAAGCCCAGGGTCTGGGCATATAGTGTGAAGGACTCTGGAAGAGCTGCTCAGTGTGCCTGGTTCTCGCGTGGTAATGAGCCTGAAGATGTGTGCACTGGAAGAGCTGCCTCAAACCAGGGGCCAGGGGAAGAAGCATCACTGGGCTCATCTCTTGCCTGTCGCTGCAGAGCCACAGCCCGACGCTGGTGAGTGGAGGAGGCAGTTTGAGTGCTCTTGTGGTCGTAGTGGTGACAGGAGGACCAACGCACAGATGGCTCGGTGGTCCCAGGAACTGGGTGGGCAGGAGGGCGGGAGAAGCTTCTTTCTCATCTGGCGTCCTCACATGCTGCTTAGGTGTTCACGTAAGTAGGTAATTTAAAACAAGGCAAGAGCCTGGCCCTGGATGGGAACTCAGTGAGTGCCAGGATCCCAGGATGGGGTGAGAGGCCGGACCTGCCCCTTGCCTCACAGCCGCCACCTGTTCACACTTTGCCCCACCTGGGAAGAGACTCTCCTCTGGCCCTGTGGCCACTCCCTCTCCGGCTCCTCTCCAGCAGCCTTCTCCCTCCTGGACATATAAAATTGCTAAGCCCCTGCTTCCAGTCTCTAAAACCTCAGCCAGACACCCTCTCTTAGCTGCTCAGCTCTCTTAGGTGCCCTGCTGTGGAGCTGAGGGCCAGGGCTGCCGGTAGGCACAGGCATCTCACCAGGCCACCCCTGTGGGATCCCCTGCCACTCCTAACTCTTTTCTGCTAGAGCTCAAGCTAATGAGCTGTTTCCTGGTTGTCATGCCAACCTAAAGGCCACCAGGGTGATTGAAGTGCTGGGCCTCTATTGCTTGTCACCATGGCAGGTGCCAGGCACAGGCTCAAATCTTGGCGCTCTCTGGCCTAACAGCCAGCCAATTCAGTTCTAAATTTGGAAGAAGATTGGTGCCTGGAGAGAGCCACACAGCAGCTGGGAAAGCCCTATTTCCTGTAATAGCTCTTCCCTTCACTGATGGAGGGCGGGGAGGACAGGCACAGGCTGCACTCTCCTGAGCAAGAGTGCATGCACTGTGACCCTGCAGTCCCACTGCTTACAAAATGAACACCCTCCTGCCCCACCAAGTGCCTCCCCCTGCTGCAGCCCTGGGCTCTACCATGTGCACCTGTCCCGCCTTCTCTTGGGTGGAGATGTCTGCCTGGCTTAAGCCCACAGACCCACAGTGTCAGTTCTGGATGTCTGATGACTAGATTTCATACCATTTATTCTGTGGATGGGAAAACCAAGTGTCTGTGGCAAGGCGGGAAAGCCCTGGCTTTGGAATCAAATTAATCTGGGTTCAAATCCTGTCCTGCCATTTATCAGCTCTGTGAACTTGAGCAAAATACTGAGTCTCAGCTTCCACATCTGAAAATGTGGGCAATGGTCCTAACACCCTAGGCTTACTGTGAGGTTAAAAGAGAAGTGCTTATGCAACCACAGGTGCTGGGACAAATGGATAGCCCAGTGAAAAAGAAGAAATGTCCCTTGAGTCCTTTGTCAGACCACTCACCAAAACTGATTTTAGATGGATTGCAGCTCTAAATCTTACAGAAGTAAGCATAGAAGGATCTCACCCAATGGTGACGGATTGGAATTAGAAACATTGAACTCAGTTGTAAATGTGTGTGTATATACGTACATATATGTGCACACTGATTGTGTGTGTGTATATATACACATAGGAGAGAGAGAAATACAGGTCCGTATCTCTCAGCTGTTCTTCTAAAAGGGTAGAAGCAATGACACCCCAGTAGCTGTGAGCATACCTGGAGCCCAGATCTTGGAGAAATGGCTAATTCTAGGGCTGGGCAGGGAAAGTCCACTGCAGCCTGAGCACTTGCTCTGAGTATGTGGAGCATGCACCTCACAACCCTGCAACCTCAGACAGGGCCAGTGCCTCACTGCTCTGTGTCGGCTCTGCTGTTTCTAGATCTTGATGATCTAGTCCTTGCATTGAATTTTTCAGGATTTTCACCAAAAAAGGTCAACATTTTCTCCTCCTCGTCCCTGTGCTCTAGTACTTCTCTCTTGAGCTGAGCAAAGGATTGGATCTCTGCATTTCTATAGCAAGGATTTTCTTTTGCTTTCTAGAACCCAAAGATGATACTTCTTGATTTTCTATTTTATCTTCCTGCTTTCTCTCCAGGATTTTCGTTGCAGACTTCTTTCCAGTTTCCTCAGTGTATATTACCTATGATATCTTAGGTAAACAGGAGAAGCGGTGAGTCTGCATTACTCTTTCTAGATCTTGAGGACTGAATCCCTAGAACTGTCTCTGTCTTGTGGAACCTTCCCTGAGAGACTGTCTGCACTCCCCTCCCTGTATGTTCCTGAAGACATCATTTTTTATGCACACCATTCTCATTACTCTTCAAATATGTCAAGGTCATTAAACACAAAGGAAAAATGAGGAACTATTCCGGATTAAAGGAGACTAAAGAGACATGACAACTAATGCAGTGGATGATCCTGGAGTGGGAGAAAAAAGAGCTATAAACGACATCATTGGGACCAATGGTGAAATCTAAATAAGATAGGCAGATCAGATAATAGTTTTGTACCAGTGTTCATTTCCTAATTTTGATAATTGCATTGTGATTCTCTAAAAGAATACTCTTGTTCTGAGGAAATACATTTAATGTATCAGGGGTGGGGCAAAAGGAAATGATGCTTTCAGCTTTTTCTCAAATGGTTTGAAAAATGCTAGTGAGTGGTGAACCTGGCTGACGGGCATGTGGAATTTCTTTGTAGTGTTCTGTCTGTAAGTTTGAAATTATATAAAAATAAAAAGTTACAAAAAAGGATGTAAGAAAATGAAAGATACTTTTACATAAATAAAGACTGAGCTATCCTTGCAGAAAGAGCTAGTGAAAGATGTATTTCAGGAAGAAAGATGTTAAAGCCAGGAGGGAGTGAGGATGTGCGAGGGCTCGTGGGCAAAGACACTAATAAACACGTTGAGAAAGAGAAGCAGCACTGGCTGTAGGGGATGACTCGTGCTCAGCGTCACTGTTCATCAGAGAAAGCAGGTGGAAACCCCAGTGAAACACCACCTCGCCTCTACTAGGATGGCTACTGCCAAAACAAACAAGTAAATAGAATAGCAAGTGTTGACAAGAATGTGGAGAAACGGGAACCGTACTGCTACGCTGATGGGAAGGTGAGATGGTGTGGCCACTGCAGAAGCAGTATCAAAAAAATTAAAAATAGAATCACCACATGATCCAGCAATCCCACCTCTGGGTATACACCCAAAAGAATGGAAAGCAGGGTCTTGAAGAGATATCTGCACACCCGTGTTCATAGCATCATACCCAAAAGATGGAGGCACCCCAAGTGTCCACTGACAGATGAACAGATAAACAAAATGTGGTCCATACACACACTGGGATATTATCAGCCTCAAAAAAAGAGGAAACTCTGACACATCCTACAACATAGCTGAACCTTAAGTATGTTATGCTGGTGAAATTAAGCCAGACACAAAGGAATATTGTGATTCCACCTCTAAGAGGTTCCCAGAATAGTCAAATTCATAGGAACAGGAAGCAGAGTAGTGTCTGCCAGGGGCTGGGGAGGGGAGAAGGAAGAGGTAAGAGAAATTGTTTAATGAGTACAGAGTTTCAGCTTTGAAAATGAAGAAGTTCTGGAGATGTGTTTCATAAACAATGTGAATACTGCTTCGTACTACTGAATTTACACTTACAAATGGTGAGATGGTAAATTTTATACGTTTTTTACCACAATAAAAAAATCCTCCATAAAGAAAAGGAGAATAATGACTAATTGATGGATGTCTCATATTAAATGAGAATAACATAGAGACAAAAACAGGGAAAACAGAATAAAAGCATGTTCATATCTATGAGTATATATGATTTGTGAGAAGAGATATTAACTTTAAATTTCATTGTTTAAGTATGCATATCAAAAACTTAAGGGTCCCAAGTGCCCATGTTGTGGTCCTTAAGTACCGTTTCTCAATCAAAGGAATGAGGGCTCCTTGGAGAAAAGCTGGCTCCGTGTCTGGGTGAGAGAAGAGCCTGGAGTGTCTTACTACACCAGGAAGAAAGGAGACCATCAGACACGGGCTGTCAGAAGGACCCAGGGCCAACTCAAAGAGGCTTTCCCTGGACAAAGATGAAGTATTTGAGCATCAATAAGAACAACAACCTCAGTGGATTAAAACTCCCCAACTATGTTAAAAATCTGTCAAGTTTGTGATGAGGCTGGGGTTAATCCAACCTCATCGGTTACTTTGCATTAAACATGTGCACGTATGTCCTCTCACTCTCCCCCAAGCCCATTAAATGAGAGCAAGGAATTTAAGGCCTAAAACCAGTGACAGACACAAAGCAAAACAGAAAAGGAGACAAGAGCAACAAAATCTGGACACTGGAAGCAGACAGATGAGTTAGAATTTCCCCACTTAGCAAACCCCAAGGAGCCGAACCCTAAGCCAAAGCAGGAAAGCCAAAAAGCAATCAGATTTATGCTGATTCATGCTCCCCAAATGCCCTGCTACCTTTGGAAGAGGGCATGAAAACGGTTCTGAAAATGGAACTGGTTGAAAGTCTGTTTAAGAAGCAGCTGGATCCTTAGGTCCTTTCCCCAGTGCTGCTCAGTGACAAATGTCCCTTCTCCTGTCCCTGACAGGAGACCAGAAGTGTATCCCTTGAAGAGAGTGAGACAGAGGTCTCTGACCTAGAGGACACCAGGCATAAATGCGTGTGGAGGGCAGGGGGGGGGGTGTCAATCATACTGGGAGTAATGAATATTGACATTTATACTTACAGACACCCAGCCCTCTTCCCCTACGCTGGCTCCCAGAACACTAAAGACCAGCTGTTTGTACTTCAGTAGGACAGAAGTTCCCTTTTCAAAGACACTAATCACACAAGGAGGAAGGACCTAACGATGTTGACATTGAACATTTCCAAATGAAATGGCTCAGCCAGATCACCCCTCTGAGAAGCCACAGTTGACAAACCCCACCACTAAGCTCAAGGCTTCCAACCAGCTTTGTGATACCCTTCCTTAGAGAGCCATGGCAGACACCACCCGACATCTGAGATCAGAACAAGCAAAAGGGGAAAAGCAACCTAAACATGGAGAAAACAACTTTTTAAAAAAGACTTCAATATCACCAGAGAGATAAGATATTGCAGACATGAACAAAATCATTCCTTTAAATTAGAAAGTGAGGAAGGCAAGAGCAAAGAGCCCTGAGAGATGTTAAAACATGAGCGTGCTCTTTTTGACACTGCTGAGTGCTGGTTCATCCCCAGTGGAGGGCCATCCCCAGGATCCCTCCCTCTGCCACCACCAGCCTTCCCCTGCGGCACGCGCCTCGCTCAGCACTCACACAGTCTATGTTCTCTGTCATGTTCAGAATGACGTAGTTCTTCCCAGCCAGGTTGCTCCAGTCTTTGCAGATCACCTGCGTGATGAGAGAGAAAGAAGGGCGACAGTTACGGAGGCAGAGGAGAGCTCAGGGAGACAGCATGGGGTGGAAGCCCTCTAGAAGCTGGAAGGTGAAGGCTGGGGTAGGTTAGTTACAGCTCGGTGGCAGCTGACAGCCTCTGCGAGGTGACCTACCAAGGATCTAGCCATAGTCCACAAAGCCAAATGTTTCCCGGGACCAAGCAGAGAATGTCTTAAGTGAGAGGAGGAGGCCGGGCATGGTACCTGGGATGTGGAGAACTGTGGGAAAGGGGTCAGGCTGCAGAGGCCTTGCCCGTCTGGAGGTTTTCAAGGGCAGGCTTGTTTTTAATGGTCTGGAGCCAAACACACAGTGGGCAGCCTGGGACCCCTGTCCTTTCTCTCTTGCATTCGTGACTATGGACACTGACTTGTGCATGCTTGCATGTGTGCATGCGTGGGGGGGGGGACGGTGGGGGGGGTGGAGATGGGATGGGAGAGCGCAGGTCAGCCACCAACTCTAGCTGCTGTTGCAAGTGGTACAGAAGGCTAAGAGCACAGCAGTAGCCTCTGAACCAAGCGCAAGCCAGGCCGGGCCACCCAGCTCCTCCAAAGGTCTTTGCACGAAAGTGTGGTGAGAACACCTATTGCTAAGCCACTAGGTCTGCATCCCGACGAGTCCCCTGGGATTCCCCATGATGCAGAGGTCTCCCTCCCCACCTGGCAGACCTGCCCCTATGCTGCACTGTCGTGGTGCAGCCGGGCTCCACAGAGAAAGGTGCAGATCACAGCCCGTGTGCACTTTCCTTTACCTGAGTAGAATCCCAGGGGATTCTGGATTGAGTTTCAGCTGCCTGCCCGTCCAGGGGCTGCTGGCTGAGATCTTCCTGCCCCAAGATAGCAGAGGAAGGTGTCAGTTCCATGTCTTGGGGGGCCAATGGGAAAGAGGCTGAGGTTCTGGGGTAGAGGCGATCTTCATCTGGGGCCCTGGCCCTGCTTGGAGCTTCAGTTTGAGGGAATGAAGCCAAGGATGGCACCTCGCCTTGCTTGCCGGCCAACCCCGCTGTGCCCACAGGGGCCTCCTCGCTTTTTTCCTGAGGGGCCTCAGCCTCCACCCCAAGCCCAGCAGCCGGCAGCACCATGCCCCCTGCCTCCTGGCTGGTGAGGGCCTGATCCCCTGGGGTCACTGCACTTGAGGTGACTGAGGATGCCGACACACTGGGCTCCAGGCTGCTCTCCACCTCCACACCCGATGAGGCCTGGTCCCCAGAATCTTCATGCCCATGCTTGGTGGCCCCTGAAGTCTGGCTGCTGCTGGTGGGAGAAAAGTCTCGGGCCTGACTCTTGGCTTCTTCTTGGGATCTGTTCATTGGGAGCAGCTGCAGCTGCTCCTGCTCCTGCTCCTCCTCCTGCTCCTCCTGCTGTTCCTCCTCCTCCTCCTCTTCTGTCTCCCTCTCCTCCTCCTGCTCCTCCTCTTCCTCCTGATCTTCCTCCCCTTCAGGAGGCACATGCCAGGGGGGCTCAACCAGATTCATCTTGGGCAAGGGAGAGGGGAGGCTCGGCAGCTCCTGAGCCTGGCTGGTGTCCTCCATGGGCCTCGCTTTCTCTGTTAGGTCTGGAAAGCCGTAGTCTAAGGACAGAGACGAAAGCTCATTCACTCATGTCATCACTCATTGATTTAGTATCTACTGAGGTAATGACATAGTACAGCCACAGCACGCTCACAGGGACAGTGGGAGATGAGGCCACACTGTGGAGGATCACAGGGACCAGGCTACTTGCTGTT